TTATGGAGAGCCAAGGACCTTGTGGAGTTGTGGTCTACTGGTACCAAATTGTTTCTCTATGTGGGAAGTTATGGGTTTGAGTCTAATGGAGGCGAACTATTGGCTCTTTATGTTTCAGTTATTTTGATAAAATAGTTATGAACAAATACTACATTGTCATTGTAATAGAGTTAGTAGTATTAAAAAAAAAATTATGAAAAAGAGAGTCTATTATTATGAGATTAATTAAGAGAGTTAGTAGTACTAAAAAAAAAAAAAAGAATTATGGAGAAAGGAGTCTATTATTATGAGATTAACTAAGACAGTGGCATGCATGGGATATGATATTGCATATGCGTCTTTTGAGCTGCTAAACTCCTTATTAAGTTTTCATTTTTTGTTTTTGGAATCGAGGTTAAATTTGTCACCTAAGTCAAACAGATAGTGCAATTGAATTCTCTTAGTGTAAAACGTTCCATTTGAAATCTCGTAAACCTGTTAAAATATTCAATTAAATCTAAAATTATCTATTTGGATGTTGGTGTTTTCTAATGTTGACATGTGTCTACTTAATTTAAGGTATATTTGTTTTTTTTTTTCCTTTGTTTTTTGTTTTGTTCTTTTTTTTTCTCTCTTTTTTATTTTCTTAAAAAATTTTCATATAGCCACAGGTTGTAGACAATCGTGACTATCCGGAGACAATCACAGTTGTCAAAAATGACGATCGTGGCTATTCAGCAACCACACCAGTCCTAAAAGACGGCCATGGCCATCTAAAAAAAAAATTGAACTTCATATTCACAATTATTGAATCTCTATATTCATAATTACATAACTATATGTTCATAATTATGTTCACAACTCTATGTTCATAATTATAAAACTATTTGTTCATAATTATAGAAATATATGTTCATAATTTTTGAATATACATTCATAATTATGAACAGTTTTGGAAACGTGTCCACCTTAATTTGCGTACTAATAGATATTTGAACTCCAAATTATAACATTCCATTGTAGTCTAGTTGGTTAGGATATTCGGTTCTCACCCGAAAGACTCGAGTTCGATTCCCTGCAACGGAAATTATTTTGTCCATTCCTCTTTCGCCTTGGGCTTGAGTCCAGAAATATTTTAGGTCACGTTCACGAATGGGCTTTTTGATTGGACCTATAGCCACTCAATATCAAAGTGTTAGCATTATTTATCTTTTTTAATTTAAATATTTTTTTGTTACTTGACCGAGAATATGTTTTATTTAAGGAACAAATCTCATTTAAGGGGTTCAATTGCACTATTCACTTGATTTAGAGAGGTAATTTAATCATTTTTTTCCTTCTTTTTTTTTTTTGAAAAAGAGGCAAATTGGTCCCCTAAGTCATCCGGACATACATGGGATATTGCGTATGGGAGAAGAAGATAATGTGTATGCGTCTTTTGAGATGCTAAACTCATTAAGTTTTTTTTTTTTATTGATCACCTAAGTCATAGTGCAATTGAGTCTCCCAAGTGAAAAACACTCCATTTAAATCCCCTAAACTTGTTAAAATGGTTAATTAAATTTAAAATTACACGTCAAAAACCTTGTGGTCGAGCGGCATAGCTGTGACTCCTCAAATGAGAGGTCTCATGTGTGAACTCCAGTGTGGGGCATTGACTCTTTACGTATGAATATATACTGCATTATAATTGAGTCAATAGTATTCAAAAAAAATCTAAAATTACATGTTTGGCATGTTGGTGTTTTCTAATGTTGACATGTGTCTCCTTATTTTAATTTTTATTTGTTAATATATTTTTTTTGCTCTTTTTTTTTTTTTTTTTCATATAGCCACAAGTTATAGACAGTCGTCCGGTGACAACTACAACTGTAAAAAAATGACGGTCGGGACTATCCGACACCCATAGTGGTCCTAAAAGATGAGCATGACCAAATAAAAAAAATCAATTTTTTAAAAATTTCTTTTAGACAGTCATGGTTATCTCCCTCATTCAAGTACAGCCACGACCTAAAATGACGATTGTGGTTTTTCAGCAGCCACGATCCCATTCCAAGGCTTCTCAATAGTCGTCGCCAGCTTCCCCGGCAGCGTGGCGCGCAACACCTCCGCCTTCGCTACTTCCCGGATCGATTGGAAAGATACGACGAAGGCATACATTTTTAAGACGGACATGCCGAGGATAATGAAGAAGGTATGGTGCTGCAGATTAGGGAGGAGCATCGGCAATTCCAGCTACCGGAGAGGCGGAGAATAATGCTAAGATTGATTCAATTAAGGCGGCGATGGAGAACTGTGTGCTTATAGTTAGTATCCCTGAGGAGGAAGTTAAGAAGCCTAAGATGAAAGCCATTTAGATCTCTGATTGAACCTAGTTTTTTCCTGTGGTTTATGTCAGTATTATGTTGTGTTACTGCATGTTTTGTTTTTTCTTCCTTGGATGATGATATGATGCTGAATAAATCATTCGTGGTAGACTGGCAGGTGGCTGTATGAAAAAGTAAATAAATAAATAATAATAATGATAAAAGAGAAAAAACGAAAAACAAAGAAAAATTAATTATTATTAAAAAAAGAGAGAGAGAGAGACGTGTCAACATTAGAAAGCACCAACCTGTCAAAGGGTAATTTTGAGCATAATTAAATACTAGTTTTTTACCCGCATTGCGCGATTGAGATAATGCTCAATGTTTTTTTTAAAAATAAGTACTATAAAGTATATCAAGGTAACTACTTTAAGTCATTTTACATGTTAATCTAAACAGTTAATTTTTTGAAATATCTTTTTACCAACCGTTGATATAATTCGCTGGTCGAATCCGCTGATATAATCCGTTAACACTAACCGCTAATTTCTAATTGTCAAACAAGGACATTGCGAGGTAGTTCTCACTTTAATTTGTTGTGTGATTTTAATACTCTCTTTGTCAACAAATCATTCAAGTAGTTAATATGATTGGCTTTATTAATTTTATTTATTTATTTTTTATTTTTTATTTTTTATATATATTTAAGTACTATAAAATATATCAATGCAAGATTATATTAAAATTGTTCATGCATAGATAATTAAATGTTGAATTTGCGTATTTAAATAGGTAATTCTAAGTTTACAAATGCAAGATAATATAGTCAAGATTAATTATAATTGGGAGAAGATTAATTATAATTGTCAATAAAATAGTTGTATGCTTATGGTTGAAACCAAATACGGGAAATAAGGGAGAGCAAATAAAAATTAGGGCATAAAATATTAAATATATACTAATATTTAAGGGCTAACTGCTGATTGCTAAACAAGGACATTGCAAGATAGTTTCTCACCTCAATTTGTTGTGTGATTTGAATACTCTTTTTGTCAATAAATCCTCCAAGTAGTTAATATGATTGGCTTAATTATACTTATTTTTTTTAATTTTGTTATAACAATTATTATTATTATTATTATTATTATTATTATTATTATTATTATTATTATTATGAAATATATGTATACCCTTAGGTCATTTTACATGTTAATCTAAACGGCTAATTTTTTCAAATATCTTTTTACCAACCGTTAATATAATTCGCTGGTCAAATTCGCTAACGTTATCCGCTAACTGCTGATTATCAAACAAGGACATTGCGATGTAGTTCTCACTTCAATTTGTTGTGTGATTTGAATACTCTCTTTGTCAACAAATCTCTCAAGTAGTTAATATGACTGTCTTTATTAATTATGTTTTTTTTTTAATTTTTAATTTTTTCATGGTATTAATAAAATATTTGGTAAATAAATATATAGCATTATTTGGTATTATAAATTTGATATTTAATTAAAAAATAGTGCACAGAAAAGATAATAGACAATGTAGTGAATATAATTAATTGATTAATTGAATGTAAAGAATTTTTACATTGGAAAAAAAAATAAAGACAATATAACTAATGAAATTATTTCTCTTATTTAATTTATTTTGATAAGGAATAATTTTTTTGAATAAAGACATAATACACACATAATTCTAAATTAAAGAAATGCATATGTATTATTTTTTGTTGTAGCTACTAAATTATTAATTAATTTAATAAAAGTAAAATAGAGTACTAATTATGCCAATTTTAATTTGATTGGGATGGGGTTCGAACCTGAGACCTTTCTTATTAAAATCAATGAGTAAATTAACGGTGAACTAACCGAAACTAACGGAAAAAAGTTAATATTTAACGGAAAAGTTAACGGATAATCATATTCATTAAGGATAAATTAGGAAATTTCAAGGAAAAATTAAAATCTGATCAATCTGAACCATTCATTTGATTAAAAAACTTGACCGCCATTTTTTCTACCCATTATAGGCCTAACTCTCTTGGACTTTTATTAGTATAGTAGATTTTAACTGATTTACTAAATTTAAATAAACTTAGGGGGGGTAATTTGCCCTTTTTCTTTCCTTTTTTTGGTTAATCAAATAGATGTAATAAGTCAAAATATTCGCATCCGTTACTAATATTTATTTGAACTAAAAGTGCCATCATTCTGTTGTAGTCTAGTTGGTTAGGATATTCGGCTCTCACCCGAAAGACCCGGGTTCGATTCCCGGCAACGGAATTTATTTTGTCCGTTCCTGTTTCTTATTTACTTGAATTGATTATGAAAAGTTTAACTTCGAAATGGGCCTTGGTCTCGAGTCCAGACATATATTTTACAATCGTTATGCGTTGGACCCGTGTCCAGCATGTTTGCTGGACACGGGTAACAGTGCCGTTAGGCACTGTTATCCCCTTTTTTTTTTTTTTTTTTTTTTTTTAAATTTCAGACCGCTTTGCTATAGGAGTATATATTCATAATTTTATTACTATATTATTAATAACTGTACATTCATAACTCCATAATTGTACGTTCATAACTCTATAATTGTACATTCATAACTCCATAACTGTACATTCATAACTCCATAACTGTACATTCATAACTCTATAATTGTACATTCATAATTTTCGAAGCTCTATGTTCACAATTTTAGAGCTCTATGTTCATAATTTTATCACTATATGTTCATAATTGTAAGTTCATAATGTTAGAGCTCTTTGTTCATAATTCCATAACTGTAGATTCATAATCTCATAACTGTAGATTCATAACTCCATAACTGTACATTCATAACTCCATAACTGTACATTCATAACTCCATAACTGTACATTCATAATCTTCGAAGCTCTATATTCACAATTTTAAAGCTACATGGTCGTAATTTTATCACTATATATGTTCATAATTGTAAGTTCATAATGTTAGAGCTCTGTGTTCATAATTTCATAATTGCATAACTGTACATTCATAACGGCATAATTGTACATTCATAACGGCATAACTGTACATTCATAATCCAAAAAAAAAAAAAAATAACGCCGTTAACGGCAAAACGCGCGCGATTTTTTTTTTTAACTAAATGACGAGTTTTTTTTTTTGAAAAACGACGTCGTTTTGGGCCCGTGTCCACAATTCACTGTGGACACAGGTCCAGGGCATAATTTGCCTATATTTTAGGACAGGTTCACGAATGGGCTTTTTGATTGGAACTCAATATCCAAGAAGGCAAATTATGTTGTGAAACCGTGTCCACTTTCGGTTCCAAAACTGTTCATAATTATGAATATATAGTTTGAAAATTATGATCATAGAGTTGTGAACATAATTATGAACATATAGTTCTGTAATTATGAATATAGAAATTCAATAATTGCGAATATAAAGTTCAAAAATTATGAATATATAATTTTATAATTATGAACATAGAGTTCTGTAATTGTGAATATAGAGTTCAATAATTATGAATATGAAGTTCAAAAATTATTAATATATAGCTCTATAATTATAAATATATAGTTCAGTAATTATGAACATAGAACCGTGTCTACCTTGTTTCACAACATAGCGATTGATCAAAGTGTTAGCATTATTTATCTTTTTAAATTTAAATACTTTTTTGTTACTTCACCGAGAACATTTTCTATTTAAGGACCAAATCTCACTTAGGAAGCTCAATTGCACTATTCATTTATCTTATAGAGGCAATTTAATCATATTTTTTTTAATAAAATAATAGTCAAACCTTAGTGTGGAATTACAATTTCACACGTAATTCCATAAAGTGTGGAATTGCAATTCCCTAGAAATTATTATTATTATTGAGAACAGTGATGAGAGGAATGTTTGTGAGACTTGTGTTTTGTTAGATGAGAGTTAAAGGGCAAAATTATCAAAATAGTGTTCTTTCTTCATTTCCCGTGGAATTGGAATTGGAATTCATAAGGGGGTGTAAGAATTCTAATTCAACAAAATTTCCTTCAACCAAACAGTGTAATTGTATAAGCCAAAGAATTTCATGGAAAAGAATTACAACTACATCCAACCAAACAGCCAATAAGGTAACACAAATCTTAAAACTTTTCAAAACTTGTTGTAAGTTGCTTAAATTATCTAGCAGACTAGACAGTGTTCACTAAATCAGGAACCTCCTAAAGGGATGAGATGTATAAGGTACATTTGTTACAACAATTGAAAAACATTGTCACAGGTTGATGGCCAAATAACTGAACTTTCAACAGGCATAGAATTCCAGCATCTCTTCTTCCACTGGGTGAGTAGTGCCAACAATGACTAGACAGTGTAGAGGAGGCCCGAAGTCGTACGTTAGCAATCGCTTCATAGAACCCGCAACAACCTTCTGGTCTTCGCTGCCCAGCCGGGCAAAACCAACACAAGCAGTGTCTTCATTGTAGGCTGCAATTCAAGAAAGTAGATATAGCATTAATCAAATTCTTCGGTTTTCACTTCCCATTTCAAGAGAAGGGATACTGAGAATGAGTACTGTTAATTGGGTAAACATTTTTTTTTTTTTGGGTGTAAACCACACATTGTGGTCCGGGTCTTTCTCTGTCCGTTTAACGGTCCAAGTCCACCCGGTTCACTCCGAGAGGCACAGAAGCTGGCCCAAAGAGAATCGTCACTTGTGGGAATCGAACCCGGGTTATCCCGGAATTCATCCCCACAAAGAGAGCTCATTTGTCACTTGAGCTACCCTGTTGGGTTAATTGGGTAAACATTGTCACATGTTTTCACATCCCATTTCGTATGGAAAAACCAATCTGGCCAGCACTCTGCCCCTTAATTGGGCCGGGCCCGTGCGAATGTGAATTAGTCTGAGTATGGTACGGGCTTAAAGGTGCCTCATACAGTTAGGGTCTGCTCAGGACACCTCATGGCTTGACCAAAAAAAAGTTAAAACTAGATTTAGTTTTACTAACGTTGTTATAGTGCATTCGAATACCTGATTCCCCACGGGATTCTTCAACTTCTAAGAGTTGCTCAATGGCAGTGTTTATTGTCATGTACCTTGGTGGCTCATATTGCTTTTTACCTCTGAGAATAAGATGGGGTTCTGAACAACTAAGTTAAGCTATTTCATGAAGAATGTATACTTAAATAGATATAGATAGTAAATCTAACCTAGCCAAGGATTCCAATGAGGGTTCTTTCACCCGTATATCTGCAATATCAAATTTCAGAATTAAGTGCATAAAAGAAAATTATTATAACAGAATACATTGACGTATCTATTAATACTATGAGTGGTGAACGGGTTATGCTGCACTGTCAACAGATATGCTAGACAAAGCTTTTTTCTAGACATCCATAATGATGTAAAGATAAAAGGAAATTTATCACAAATAGGACGGAAACAAATACTCAACGTCATAAAGAAACCAGCATTCCAACTCCAGAAGAGAATCAAGAGATAATAACTAAATGCTTCAAAAAAAATAAAAATAATATTTTTCTATATGAAATTTTCCTATTTTTGGGCGCTGTGTTGACAGTGTTAACCCTCAAGTTCAAAATTGTCCAGTCACTGTCCCCCTAACAGCACCTCAAAGAAAATAAAAAAGAAAACCAGTTTTGTATTATTTCAATTAATCGAAATTCTTTTGGCAAGAGAATCCTAACAGCACCTCAAATATATTAGGTCCTCTCTTTTCATAATGCCATATCTGGTCTCTAATACTTGAGAAATACAATTCAGAAACATCAAATCCAGCAATGAAAAATATATACACACACACACACACACACGCATATCTTATATATGATGAGCATTATGTAACCAAGGTATCAGCAGTACCTAGCAAACAGAGAGTATGCAATCCAAGCTTTCGATTTTCACGAATCTTCTCATAGAAACTGTCAGGCCTCCAAGTGTCTGTGAAGAAGGGTATGGAGATCGTCTCTCCGTAACGATAGAGCTGCAAGCCACAAACGCCAACGGCATTCATTACTGATGCATTATGCACAACCTTTACATCCACCCCCACCTTTTTTGCTCTAACAACAAGGTCACTGTGGGTAGTTGCCCTGTGTCCAATACGAAAGTATCAAGAAACAAATTGTAATTGTCAACAAGCAGGCTAAATTACAAGTTTTAAAGAACAAAATTGAAATTGTTCCTAAGCAGTATTAACAATCGTTCCACCAGCAAATGTATTTAGATGTATAAGCCACTTCATATGTAAACTGATCTACAAAGGTATCTTCAACAATCAAGTTAAACTAGGAAAATAATCAAATCTTCACCAATTGAGCCAAATGGTGAAACATCTGCATCTAGACTGATCCAGATTCCAGAATCATTGATTATAAACACCCAACTAATTAACAAATGTATGACAGGAAAAATCAACAAATTTAACAAAAACAAAATGGCATACAACAAATCAAATAAAGTGTAATCACGAAACCTGAGCAGATAATGATAGAGAAAAGAAAATCACAAATTGAATTAAATGAAAAAAAGCATTCAATACCCGAAAGGGTCTCCAACTACAAGGAAAGCAATGTCGGAGGACTGCGCTTCCAATAGTATGGCATCAGCTTTCTCCTCAACAGTTTCCCTATCCGCAAGAGTAATCGATTTTCCGTATAAGTTTTCCTGCAAAGATTGAAACTTTATCGCATAATTGCCCAAAACAAATCGCCAAAACGCTTGAAAGATGGAAAAAAATTATTACACCAATGAGCAAGTGTTAACCAGAGTAGAAAGGCCATCAGAGGAGAGTCCAAAAGAGAGAAGAGAAGTGTAGGCTTCCATATAAACTTGGCTGCATTTCTTCACCGCTTCAAGTCCTTTCAGGGTGATGTCTTTCTCATCCCCTAAGCCCAACCCGATTATATACAACATCTTATTAGATTTTCAGGTGCTATTAATTGAACGAAATTAGTTGAGTTCGCAGCTCAAATTGAAAGATCACTGAACCTAAACCCTAGAAAAACCCTCTGGCAGCGAGACTTGGAAGTTGGAACTGAAGGAGACGCTGATTTGCACGAGAAGCGTAATGGGGCTTAACTATAATTTTTTTTAAAAGATAATTATAAATGGTAGTATTTGTTCTATATTTTTTTAAGAGTTAATTTCAATAGAGGTCTTTTATCTTTGATGATAATTTTAAATATAGTTTAAGACTATTATTTTTATCATTTAATATCTCAGACCATTAATTTTTAAATATTTTTTAATTCTTTTCATGATCTTTCTTATTTTTGTTAAGAGCATTTTTTTATTTATATTTTTCATAAAAAAATAATTAATAACATGCTCAATAAAAGTAATGTTATTTATTAAAAAATAAAAAAAAAAATGATTTCTGCTTTGGTTTCCAAAGCTGGAAACCAATGTGATTTTCGACTTTGAAAATCATACTAGTTTTCGTATCTTTTCAGCTGTGTGTTTTCATTCCACAACTGAAAACCATTTTCGGTGGTCGATGTTCGTCAAATTGACCACCAGAGGTATTAAAAAATAAAAAATAAATAAAAAATAAATATTGATGGTTGATTGAAGAAGGGGTTTGTGAGAAGAAAATAAAGAAGGTTGCTGTGTAGATGTGGAAAATGACTTTCCTCCAATTTTGACGGAAGTTATTTTCTACCAAAATATTCTTATTTTTTCTTTTGACCGAAAAATGATTTCCTTTGACTTCAATTTTCCAAACTCTTCCAAATACTGAAAGTAACTTTTAGAAAGCATTTTTTTTTTTTTTTTAATTTCCAAACACATCATTAATTGAATAACTCAATAGGTTTGTACCTATAGGGCAAAAAGGAGCAACCACCATTTTTGACCGCACAAGTATTAACAAAATGACAATTTTAATCCATATGTTTAATTTCTACCAACTTTCCCCCACAAAGTAAGGTAAGATGATGAAGAGAATTGCGAATTGGGATCGATTTTAAAGCTTAAATAACTGTATTCTTGCTCAAATTAGAATCGTATGTTAAAAAAAAATGAAAATGCCCTAACAATTTTTAGATTTCGGCATGTCTTAGATGGTGAGGTAATCAGCGTGATCATCTTTGGTACTAAAATAAAAGTCGTGGATGAAAATTGGTAGTAAAATAATAATCGTGGATGAAAATTGGTAGAAATTAAACATGTGGATCAAAACCGTCATTTTATTAATACTCGTGGGATCAAAATTGGTATTTGCTCGGCAAAAAGGCGAATATATATAAATACATATATACCCCTCTTAATTAGGGGTAAAAGCTTAATTTTGACAAATAGGAGCAGCAAATTGGTAAAATCAAGCAGCAGAGTGGAGACCTGAGACCCACTCACAAAACCTCAACTTTTTTTCTATCAAATTTTAACCTGCATCTAACCACTACACATTCCTCATTTCTACCGTCCCCATTTGAAACACAGTGGGGAAAGGCAAATTGGAGCAAAAATTCGAGAAAAAATAGGAAAGCGAAGAAGAAAATGGAGCACCATACCACCACGAGTCGAGCTGAAGCAGAGCGGCTGCTGGGAATCGCCGAGAAGCTTCTGAGGAACAAGGACTACTCCGGCTGCAAAGACTTCTCGCTGTTGGCCCAAGAGACGGAGCCGTTACTGGAAGGCTCCGACCAGATCTTGGCCGTCGCGGAGGTCCTCTTGGCCTCCACCAGGAAGATCAACAACCAGCAGGACTGGTACTCCATTCTCCAAATCGGAAACCGGACCGACGACCCGGAGCAGATCAAGAAGCAGTACCGCCGCCTCGCGCTCCTCCTCCACCCGGACAAGAACAAGTACATGTTCGCCGACGCCGCCTTCGGGCTCGTCGCGGATGCGTGGGCCGTTTTGTCGGACGCCAATAAGAAGGCGCTGTACGATAACGAGATGTCGCTTTATACGAAGGTGGATTTGGTGCCGACGAAGAAACCGGCGGCGAAACGGCAGCCGGGGACTGCGGCGGCCGCCCGCCGATCTGAGGATCAAGGTCAGAAACTCCCGGTGAGGAGAAGCTCCAGAGTAAGCGGTAATAGCAATAATAACGAGAATTCTAATAGCGATAATAATAATTTCAATAATAGCAATAGCGGTGGGAATAATCAGAGTGGTGGGGGGAGAAATATAAACCCTAGGAGCGGTGGTAGTGGGGTGAAAGCTCAAGCTCAAGCTCAAAGGTCGACTTTTTGGTCGGTTTGTCCGTACTGTTACAATCTGTACGAGTATGAGAGGACTTATTTAGGGTGTTGTGTGAGGTGTGAGAATTGCGAGAGGGCGTTCACGGCGGCGGAGATACGGCAGATGCCGCCGCGGGTGCCGGGGAAGAATGCTTACTATTGCTGTTGGGGATTTTTCCCAATGGGGTTTGTGATAGGGAACACTGATGGAAAGAGAAGTATCTCTACTTCTGCTGCTGCCGCTAGCGGTTTCCCCAATTGGATGCCTCCCATGTTCCCGGGTGGCGGTGGAGGAGCACCGCTGCCACCAGCAGCACCGGCTGCCGCTGTGGCACCCGGTGCCACCGCCCCGGCAAATGGGGAGGGGTTTGTGCCGGTTGCCGAGGGTAATGCGGGCAACAATGTTACCGTGATGGGGATTGCGGCCGGGGGAGCTGCGCCAGCGCCGAAGCCGAAGCCAAAACCGTCGCCCCAGCCGGTGTCGGGAGGGCCTAGGAAGAGAGGTAGGCCGAGGAAGAATCCACTATAGAAGGTAGGTTGGTGTGCTTCGTTTTGCCCTCGAGAACTTTGTATCTCAAGAAATTTTCCGGGTTGCATATGCATATCTTGCTCGAGGGCAGGTCGAGTCGGTGATCGAAATGTACTTAAGCTCGTGATTGTCTGCATTTTACTTGTTCTAAGCTGCTGTCGAAAACCGAGCGTAGAAATGGCTCTTGTTTCAAATGTAAGTTAAGGTAGTTTCAAATTTCGACTGCTGTACTTTAAATTGTAACTCTTCCTGTTTGTACTTGTAGAAAAATTTGAATATTTATCAGATGATTTTCAGATGGTCCAGATGAATGAGTTGAAATGGTTCAAGAATTTTAGATTTTTTTTTTTCCGAATCTCCCAAGGAATTGGATTTGGGACCAAATGCATTGCAATCTTGCACTCACTCTTTCTGGCAATATAGCCTGAAGTAGAAGAAATAAACCTTGATATTCAATTTGTGTGCTATTTGGTTGTTTTTCTATTGGTGCATTAAGGAGTATGAAGATGTTGACTGTTAGACATTCAAATATTAGTGAAACGGCTTTGAAACATTTTATAGAGTTTTTGCAAATGTGAAGAAATGTATCAAGTTTTTGCAACTGTGAAGAAATGTTTAGAGTTTTTGCAAATGTGTGAAGAAATGGCTTTGAAACATTTTAGAGTTTTTGCAAATGTGAAGAAATGTTTAGAGTTTTTGCAAATGTGTGAAGAAATGTTTTTGAAACATAAACATTAAAATCCTATAGAGTGTGCATGCATCTGGAGAACAATAAAGCATTTTTGGCATAATGCATATGGCATTGGAATGCCAAAGGGAAAAAATGATATGCGTCTGCAAGCCACACAAAAATGATATGCATCCAGCGGGGTGCGGGGCTAGTTCAGGGGATTTAAACTCAGATTTTGATTGATAATAGGAGATGAAGATCCTGTGTGCACTGAGTGTATAGAAAATGGGCTAGTTGATTAATCAAAGGAGATGAAGATCATGTGTGCACTGAGTGTATAGAAAAGGGGCTAGTTGATTGATCAAAGGAGATGAAGATCCTGTGTGCAATGAGTGTATAGAAAAGGGGCTAGTACAGGGGATTTAACTCAGATTTTGATTGATCAGAGGAGATGAAGATCTTGTGTGCACTGAGTGTATAGAAAAGTGTGCATGCACGGAGTGTATAGAAAGAGGTAAGAACTTGAGGAATGACAGGTCATTTTGTGATTTACCTCCTTCAAAGGCTTTGGGAGCTTAAGATTAGTTTGGCGTAAGCTTGGATAACTAATGTAATTAAAAAAATGATATGCATCCTCAAGCCACATAAAAATGATATGCATCTAGCGGGGTTGCGGGGTTAGTTCAGTTGATTTAATCCAGATTTTGATCGATCAGATGAGATGAAAACCATGCGTGCCTTGAGTGTATAGAAACAAAAAGGGGTGAGAACTTGAGGAATGACAGGTCATTTTGCGATTTACCTCCTCCAAAGGCTCTGGGAGCTTAGGATTAGTCTAGTGTAAGCTTGGTGGTGCATGGCTAGTGCAGTTAATTTAACCCAAATTTTGATCGATCAGAGGTGATGAAGACCCTGTGTGCCCCTAAGTGTATAGAAAGGGGTGAGAACCTAAGGAATAATGGGTCATTTTGCAATTTACCTCCTCCAAAAGCTCGGGGAGTTTAAGATTAGTGGCGTAAATTTGGATAACTAATGAAAAAAATAAAAAATGTTACGCATCCTCAAGCCATATTGGAAATGGGGAATGCACTAAGCTATTATAATCAAGCTAGGAGGGAAAAAGCACTTGGAGTATAACATAAATACATAATCCACAGTTTCAATGGCTGGGTATCCTTCATTAGAGGATTGTTTACAGTCTTCAACAGAGTTCTTGAAGAAATGCAGGAGCAGAAAAAGAGAAATGGTTGCGGATCAAGACAAAGAAGAAGTCGAGAGGCGAAGGCACTCACTTTGACACCTCTTCAGGCAAATGTCATTCCAGTTAGGCACTTGATGCTGGTTAACACAGACAGTCCGTGCACATGCATCAGCGCAAGCATCAAGCTCGGAAACACCACAAACAGTGACACAGGTATCGGGCGTTGGGTCTTTAGAAAACGCACCAACCTTCTTCAACATCCTCTTCGAAGTACAAACCCTCTCGCAGACAAATATGTCATCCGAGTTCTTTTCGCGTCCTCGGGCCCTCTTTATCCTCTGTTCATCATCTCGTCTCTTCTTCATCCTGAAAGCTTGACCTGCCAGTACAGCTGGAACAGCTGCCCCCAGTAAAGACCACCATAATTCCACCATCATTGCTGGTTGAAAACTATATTCTTGGACCTCTTTGTTTATAGTGTAGGAAAAAGAAGGAAAATAATCAAGTTAGCAATCAGTTTCTAGTGAGCAGAAGGAAACACTAATTTTGAATTATGATCAGAAAATTTTCCACTTATTAATTGCACAACCTAATATTTTGTAACCTATTTTCAAGTACTTCTTAGGCAATTCAAAATTCACGTGGTAAGTTGGTATGCAATACACAACAATTACAGTGATCCAGCATTTTAGCCATGAAATGCCATATTAATTTATAAATAAAATAAAAATAAAAATAAACTAAAAGTCCAAACTTCACATCACTGTGAGGTGTAATTTCAACAACTGCCCAGCAACATATTCATACAGTACACTATCTATCCTTGGTTCAGTAGTCAAAATTTGATCTCTAGCTTCAAGTTTTAGAATACCTGGACTAATAAGCTGGTTCTTCAAATGACATGAAATAAAAAAATTTCAATAGCAAGAGGAAATACATTGCCTGTACAAACTAAATAGACATAAGACATCCATACCTAAAACCACAGGTCTGTACAAGAACAAAGAAGTAAAGTTATCAGTACTAACCAGAGAGTAAACTGCTGTTCAAATGATTGCATTTCCAACACCCAATTCAAGGGTGGCCCAAATTCACAGTTAGCACTTTAGCACTTGCCTTAAAAACTAAAGAGCATGGTCTGACCTGCTGAAAGAATGTTCATACAGGTAGAATAAGGAAAAGGGTTTTAACCAGAAGGCACTGCTAAAGAAACTGTTACATTGATGCAGCTGACGGTTTTATAAGAATTTCAGAATAATATATTTTGTTGCTGAATAAAATGTAACTCAAACAAGAGGCATCTTGTCACAAGGAATTGATGTGCCCTAGACATAAACAACGAATAATTCATAAAAAAGAATAGGGTGAAGTGGTCAAGTGGATACAACTAGAGCCAAGCGAATATGTTGTCTGGTGACCCTTTGAGAAAAAAAAAATAGGGGCAGGAGAGCAAGGCAATGGGAAATTTAGTAGATAATTACACAATCATTCCTTAAATTATGGTCCTTTATGGACTCTCTTGTAGCATCTAAAGATGAAGCTATAGGTTAACCATAGCATATGTGTTTCAATAGTCACATGCATTGAAGCCCCTGCATCTTAATGAAAACTACATTTTGCAACTGGAGGATAATTATCAATTATGGAATATCTTGCTAAATACCTTGCCCTTCCAAGTCAAAGAAACCATTACGGAGGAGTTTTCTTAATGTAGCCCAGAGTTGAGTTGTCCAACAGGGGACCAAATCCAGCTGCCAGCAGCCCTCCTCATATTTGAACCTATAGCCATCCTCCACTTAATACCAAGCTCTGGTTCCCCTCAATTCTTCCAAGAACTCACTGATATCAACCAAACCTAGGTAACATTAATGCTAAACCCAAATCTTTACCTTATGTCATCTACAGGTGCTCCGTGACAAAAATCCTTATTTCCACCAAACATACTTCCTTAGAGAAACCAACTACAATCACAAAACATAGAATCAAAGTTCGCTACTACATTATTCATGGATCACAACTGTTTCATTCTCTCGCAACAAATGGATACAACCATGCCAAGTGAATTTGTCATTTGGTCCCGTTGAAGTGTTGAACTCAAAAAAGATGCAGGTGAACAGGCCAAAGCAATGGAAAAGTTAGAAGAGAATTGCACAACCATTTATATGAGTACACTCTTGTAGCATTGAAAGATGAAGCTCTATGACAACCACAGAAGATGTGTTCACATAGTGCTGCACAGAACCTTTGACATCTAGAGGAAAACTACATTTTGCAACTTGAAGACAATATAAATTGCATAATATCAAATAGCCTGCCCTTCCAGCTTAAAGGAACCATCAAGGAAAATTTTTCTTAAGGTTGACAGGAGACAATGAGTTGTCCCACAGGGGAACAAAATTCAGCTAGTAGGGGCTCTCTGCATGTTTCAATCTATTGTCTTCCTCCACTTCTACCCAAACTATGAATCCCTCTCAATACCTCGCAAACATCGTCCAGACTAAATGACATAATCTATTTCATTTCTTGATCTCATCACATCAACAAAACGTCTTGCCCCATTTTAGCAACAACTAACCTAAACCGTAGCCTAGTTAATCTTCACCTTATGTCATCCACTAGTGCTTCCCCAACATATACTAATATTTCCACTCTAACTACAGTCACAAAACACAGGTTTAAAGTTCACTACCAGATTACTCATAGACTACCTTTCTTTCCTCTTGGCAACAAATTCCATTACCAAAATGCATAACAGATATTAAATGTAGGTACTAAAGCCCATATTCTCTCTCAACCATTCCACTCAATGACTCTTTTGCATCACAAGTCCTTTTCAACCTAAAGAACCCTCTAATTACAGTATTTCTAAGCTCACTCATTCACAACTATACTAACCCTTACATTCTCTCTCAACCATTCCCCTCAAAGACTGTTTTGCATCACAAGTATTTTCCAACCTAGCGAACCCTCTGGTTACAGTATGACAACGCTCACTAATTCACAATTTCTCAATTCAATCACATTCGACTGTGCAAACTTCTCAATACACATTTTTTTCTGTACTTTCTTCATGGGCATTTTCACAAACACATATACTACATTACTACCTGGAACACTGCCATGACAGTCAGAAGCACAATCAGAAGACTCAGGGAGCAAACTGAGAGCTGAGCAATATCACTAGTTCTACTGATTCTGATACTTGTCTGAGTTTTGCGATTAGACTCATCACTTATGTAGTCATTTTAAAAATTTTGTGATTTGAAGACAACTATGAAAAATTTTCAGGTCCAGTGGAATTTAAACAATTATGATAACAACAAATAAGGAAGTTAGCTGCATACCTATTTGGTCAGATAAGTTGCGGCGATCTGCTATCGACAGTAGTGATCAATTTTCTTCTGTTCTTATTCTTTTCTTTTTGTTGTTGCGAGGTTTATATGTTTGAGCAGAAAACGAGACTACGAGAGAGTGGGGAGTGAAAGGGTCTCCCTGTAAACAAAAACCCTTGATGAGGTATATTTTGGACAACTTTTAAATATGTATTTAGGGTGTAATTGGTTTGAGAATTGAAATTGGAATGAGAATTAAATATTTGGAGTTAATTATTAAAAGAGTTAATTTCAGCAATGGTCTTCCGAGTATGGTGATTTTTCACAATTGGTCCTCGATTTTTAATTTGGACAATTTAACCATCCGACTATCGAAAATTTTCCAATTGTGGTCCTTCCGTCAAATTCTAGTTAAGTGGACATTAACTTGAAGGGTAAAAACGTCATTTCTCCTCACTATATTTTATCTTCATTTCCCGAATTATTATGTCCACGTCCACGCCAGAAACGATGCATTTGGGACCGGCGACGAGCTCAGTCCACTCCTGCCGGCCGAAACACATACCATTGTAATTTGTGGAGTTTCTTTTGTGGTGATTGTAGGTAAGACCCCACGCACATCAAGACTTTTGCATGAAAGCTTGTTAAAACATTATGGCAACTAAGATCAGTTCATTTATTTATCTGAAAAAGCCCAAATTGATCTGCGGAAGCCAGAAACAACAACCCCCTCTCCGTCCTGCCAGTTCCTCAAAATCATCATTCTCTGCATCTTCCGGTGTGGCATTCTCAACGGCCATGTTCAATCAACAATCCCCCAATTCGCCTTCTTCAAGGCCACATATTTCGCCGGCAACCCTCACCTCTGTGGATCTTTTCTGAACAACCCATGCGACCTCGCCCCAATTTCCAGTCCGCCGAGGAAATCCCACGGCGATTTCAAGCTGATTTTCGCGGCTGCCGCCATCATCAAGGCCAAGTCTTTCAAGAAAACGGGTCGGTTTGTGGAAAATGACGTCATTCCAGAAGCTGGATTTCACGGTCTCCGACGTCCTGGAATGCCTGAGAGACGGCAATGTGATCGGCCGGGGTAGTCTACCATAGCAAAACCCCTAACGACGTCGAAATTGCAGTGAAAAAACTCCTGCGATTCAACAACACCACCCACAACCACGGCTTCCGGGCCGAGATCCGGACCCTAGGCAACATCCGACACCGAAACATCGTCCGATTGCTGGCATTCTGCTCCAATAAGGACACCAACCTTCTGGTCTACGAGTACATGAGAAACGGTAGCTTAGGCGAGGCTTTGCACGGCAAAAAAGGCGAGGTTATTGGTGGAGGGTTTCTCAGGTCTTTGGCCATTGACTCTCCGAAATTTGGCTCTCCGTCTCCACATCTTTGGCCATTGACGAGTACGATGATGTTCTTGGTGGAGGGTTTCTCAGGTCTGAAAATGGGAGGCCATCTCCATAACCAATTGTATTTGTACAGTATTCAGAATGCTTGTGAGAGTAATGGAGATTCTGCTGAAAATGAGGCTGCAGAGGTTTCTTTCTAAACCCAGACAACCTTCGACCAAACATTTCTGAGGCAATATGGGAAATGACGCTTTTACCCTTCAAGTTAACGCCCACTTAACTAGAATTTGACGGAAGGACCACAATTGGAAAAAGTTTGATAGTCGGGTGGTTAAATTGTCCAAATTAAAAGTCGAGGACCAATTGTGGAAAATTACTATACTCGGGGGACCATTGCTGGAATTAACTCTTATTAAAATGGTCCTTCGACTATAGTGAAAGTACCGACTTGTTCTTCGACTTATTTTTTTTACCGATCTAGTTATCAAGTATTTAATTTATGTCTAATATGGTTCTCTGTCTGTTTGAGGTTAATTCATCGTTTAATGTAAGGGCATAATAGTCTTTTCACTCTCCACGCATTAGAGACCTTTCACTCTTTTATTGTTGCAGCAATGTTTTTTCACGTCGAAATACAGTACAGATGCAGAAAATAGCTGAAGAAATCTGCATCAACCGGCAGCCGTTGTTTCCAATGGGTTCAGAGTCGCCGGTGAAAACCTAATGCCACTACCAATTTTTCGCTCATCAGTTGGTCCTTGGAAAGCCGGGCAGAAAAAGTAATTGCACCTAAATTGACTGAAATATGTAAAAGACTAAAAGGTGCCATGTATTTTCCAAAATGTGCGTGGATTTTTTATTTTTTATTTTTTTTCAAAAATGTGTAAAACGAAAATGGGACTTGCGTTTTAGGCTGTGTTCCAAACCGCCATGTCAATTTTTATTTGAAAATGGTCAAATTGGGTGGAATGGACCAAAATACCCCCCAACTTAACGGCTAATTGATGAAAAATATAACGGAGGACTAAATTGGAGTAATTTTTAAAAGTCAAGGGACCACAATGGGTGCAATTGAAATTTCAAAATGCAAAATTGAGAATGAGCCATAGTCAAGGGACCAAAATGGGTAAAAACTCCAATATTTTGGTCAATAACAACTTTCATAATCTTTTCCAACTATTGTTATCATGCACATGCTTTCATCATATATTTTATTATCTTTTCAATGGTAATGATATATAGACATTATATATTGAATTACTATATAAGTTATTTTTTAAAATATAAATATCAAATTTATAAAAAAAATGGTTTACATTATTATTATTAGTATTATTCAATAATATAAAATTTTAAAATCTAAAATTTTAATACATATTATTAATATTTACACATCTCACATAGAAAATAGTAGTGTTAAAATATAACGCATTTACAATTTTTACATTTAAAGAGATTTTTTTTTGAATGCTACTGACACTCTATTACAAAGTAGTATCTGAAACATAACCTCCTGCTCAAACTCACAACCTTCCAAATGAAAGTTCAACCTGAATATCATTAGACCACGTAGTCTTGTACAGAGATTAATTAGCGGTTCTTTAAATATTTAAGGGACCTAATTACACTATTGTGTGGAGTGTGGACTTTGAGAGCTAATTTCACAATTAAAAAACAAAAATTAGAAAGGAAAGTTGAAGTTATTGGTTTACGAGCATACTGAAGTTGGCATTGAACGCCATTATTAAAGTGCATTTAAAGCTTCAAACCGAAGCCCAGCAGCAATCAAGCAAATTCATCACTAAAATGGGTTCTTGATTCTTGGCTAGCAGGTACTTTAGTTTTCTGGAAAGAAAAAGAAGAGAGAGAAAGAGTGGCTTCAATTCATTTCTCAGTGGGCATCTTAGCTGATTTTCCATCTGCATATTGGTGGGTAATCTTCTTCTTCCTGGTTATTTGATTACTCTGTTTCATTTCTTCTGTTCTTTGGGAATTTCAATGGTGGTTTTGCTTCATTTCTTGATGATTTGTTAAGTCGGGAAAATGGTGCAGATGAAAATATGAAATGTCACCCCTTCCATCTTTACTTATCAATTCATCATTAAAAAAGAAAAAAAACATATTATGAGTAGCATTTATCTGATCATCTGTTCAGAGTAAAATGTAGATTTGATTTGCAAAAAAAAAAGGCTGGTTTTAGACTTTAGTTGAGCTCCAAGTTTTAAACTTTTACAAAAACCTTGGAAAATTTTACAATGTTGTGGGATTTGTACTTTGCCAAAGATATTACTTTACAAAGTATAGCTAACCCAGCCAAGTTGGTCGGGTTATTAGCTTTGTAACCATAAGGGGATGGCCTATTTGCCTTCTTGATTTTAGCCGGTCAGCTAAGGACAATTTAGGTTGATTTACCTATCATTTGCTAGCTAAGGTCACAATGCAGGGTTTATTGCACTCCCTCGGGTAGTGGGAAAATACAACATTGTAAAAAATTTTCAAAAACCTTCGATAATGCTTAATTGAGGAAACCCATTGATGGTTTGCTGTGGGGTTAAGCTTTGTTGTAGACTTAGACATGGCTTGTGTAAGAAAAAGGCCGAGATAGCACGTTGTGGTGAGTAGAAGTCCTTGCTTACATTTGTATGCAATGCTTAGTGTGCACCACAATCGCTTTCTCTTGTGCATAATCTTTTGAAGCTTACGGATCGTTTAGTATCTTACAAGTGCGTTGAAGTGCCTTCAAGAATTTCTTTTTGCTATGTGGGAGAATGCTGCACCGTGTAATAGAATGGTGACTAATTATAAATATTTAGCTGCAATACTACGACAAACCTGTTGATAAATGTAACTTGTCTCGTGCTTATCTACAAAATTTTGACACGAAATGAATTTTCCTTCTTTGGTCTTTTGATAGCACACTTGCTATCTTCACATGGTGCTATGGTATATGGAAACTTTATTACTCGCTAAGTATTTAGAAGTGCCATAACGATGCTCCTAAATGATTAGTTATATTGTATAATGAAAAGCTATGAAAGCAATAAGATAGCTAGGAATCATAGGATTCAACTCTGCCGCCGCCTTGTGGCCCTAACTGGGAAAGGATCATAAGGAGGTAAATCAGTCTAGGTTGTCCATAACTGGCCGACTTAAACCAAGAAGTCCAATAGGTTGCTCTCACTGAGAGTTGAACTTGGAACCTTGTGGTTATCAAGCCAACAACCCGACCAACTTAGTTGGGATTGCCCCCAGAATTGTTCCATTTTGTTTGACTGAGAGGAGCATTTATCTCACTCGTTCGGTGTTTTTTCAACCCACCACCTCATTTGGCAGGAAGGGATGACTAGGGGACGATATTAGCTTTAGCAACAAATCTGGTGTTGATTACGAATTCACATTCATAGCAGTCATAGATGGCTAACTTGAGGACTTTCTTGTCATTAATTTCCAATTTCCGTGTCTCTGCATAGAGTTGATAGATTTTATTAACTGGCTGACTTTTGTATTACCCAACTGTTATGAGAATATTAGTTAAATGTTAAGCAGTTCAAATGTTTATGTTTTGTTTCAATTGTTTCTGAAGTTTAACATTAAATTTCTGTCCATCTTGACCACTCGCTTCTTGGCTTCCTGCAGTAATAATTGCAGTCTAGGCATCTCAAGACAAAACGCAAATAGCCAACAAAGACCAGGCAATGGTGTCCTCTAATTCTGTAAGAGGATGGCACTGCACAGGCTCTGATACCATGTTATTATTATGAGACTAAAAGACTGAATCCAACCAATTAGCTAATCTAACCGATGGCCTTATAAACCCATATGTTCTATCTTATTTTATCTTAACATTACTTCTCTGATGGTTTACCTGTTGGAAGCGTTTTAACTTGTTTATGATTCAGCTGAGGTCGTCTTCCAAGAAATCAGATGGGAAAAAACCAACAAAAGAAACGGGGAAAGGAAATTCAGTCTCGGACAATAACAAGGAACGTGGAAGCAGGAAAAGGAAAATTGATAAAGTTCAGGAGAAACCGAAGCCAAGTAACAAATCTGTAAGTCAATACCGAATACAGAAAATCTTTCGTTTAAATGCATCATATATGCTGCATAGCAGTTAAAGAATGAACTTTCAGGCGAAAACCTCTACAGGAAAGGCTTCGGCTACAAGTCAAAAAACGAAGGAGAAGGCAAACTTACGTCCAGAGAAGACCAAGCAGAAACTAGGTAGCACGAGCAAGAAACCCCCCCGGCTAAAAAGCCCCAAACGGGTAAGTGCACAAGTTTTGCCTCCAATACATTTTGTTATTATCTGTATAATATATGTTCTTTATATTGCTTGAAATATCACATTTGTAGCCCCTCCACTCTCGGGAAACAACTTCAGTTAAGGAAGTTAAAGAACCAAGCGCACGTAAAATCAAAATAATGCAAGCTCTCGGTTTGGCTGCTCCCACCGGTTCCCCATTCCAACAAAACCCGCGGATCAGTTCTCTGAAACGAGTTAAGTAAGATATTTCGAGCTGCAGTGTCTAAATTTTGTCTTCGAGCATTCGCAACTAGAGATGCTCTAGATGCTGCATATATGCCCAGGTATTCCTAGAGATCGAGCTTATCTCTTTTGTGCTCCTTGTAAAGTAGAAACTTGCATTTTGACAAGCATCTTCTTTTGTTAAATATGATATTAAGGTATCAAGCAATTGTTAGTAATGACTTGAGATTTGTGGATATTGAGTGTGTATATATATGTCAAGCTTTTCTATTAGCCCACATGTAGAATAGAGTTCGGTTTAGCTTGGGTCCTCTTTAATAGAAACCCAAGGTCTTGACATCTCCACGCCAATATCTCATTCTCTCAAATCTCAAGTTCTAATTTTTTCGAGTCCCTTAATCAGTTGGAGGTCTTGACATCTCCAAGCCAATATCTCATTCTCTCAAATCTCAGTTTCTATTTTTTTTTTTTTTTTTCGAGGCCCTTAATCAGTTGGAGGCATTGACATCTCCAAGCCAATATCTCATTCTCTCAAATCACAATTTCTATTTTTTTTCGAAGCCCTTAATTAGTTCGAGGCCTTGACATCTCCAAGCCAATATCTCATTCTCTCAAATCACAATTTTTATTTTTTTCGAAGCCCTTAATTAGTTCGAGGCCTTAAATCTCCAACCTAATATCTCATTCTCTCAAATCTCAATTTCTAATTCTTTCGGCTAATTGGTTCTTCTTCTCATTATGAAGAACAAGAATATGAGCAATATACATTTTAGCAACTCAACATTCAACAACCAATTGCATCAATTGTCCTAAATTTTCTTCTCTAATTTCCCAACCAATTGCACCAATAGTCCTAAATTAGGCCTTATGTTTATATTAAAGAGTACTCTTTTTTTTTTTTTCCCAGGTATATATCCAGAGTTTCCACCATCCGGCATTCTGACTAATTTCCTTGTTAGATTGTAGGCAACTCTTTTGGGTGAGACAAATCTTATAACGGGTTGATTTAGGGCTCCATAGTCACCTCTATCCACATGTGAAGATGTGGATCTTTGGATGAATTGATTGTTAACGTGTTTTTATGAGTTGGTTAGCCATGAATGGAGAATAGTTGTGGTGGTTCGTATGTAAGATTAGCCCAAGAGAAAGTGTAAAAATCCATGTTATTGTTCTATACAAATCATATTAAGTGTTATGCCCTTATATTTGATGTTCAAAGATGACACTATATCAAACAAATTGACTTGTTTTGGTTGAAGAAAGGCGTAAAAAAAGTTGCATTTTTTTGTTTTGTTTGAATGACAATAGAAACTTACGGCCACTACTCAATATGGGTAAATTTTGTTTTTGTTTTTGTTTTGTTTTGTTTTGTTTTGTTTTTTTTTTGTTTTTGTTTTTTTTTTTTTGTTTTTTTTTTTTGTATCCACAAATTACGATTCTTACCGGCCTAATTTAGTGCTATTTATTTTTGAGATGGTTATTTATGCCAAATTTAGTGAAAAATTTAAATCTACTACTTAAAAGTAGGGGTGTAAACGAATCGAATCGAGTCAAATATCTCACTATTCGATTCGAATTCGACTGTATATTTGAATATTTGTATTTGTATTCGTTTAATATTCGAATATCAAATTTGATTCGTATTCGATTTGACAAGTTTAATATATTCGATTCGACTCGAATATTCGAATTCGAAATGCTTAACTTAATTTTTTACAATATTAGGGACTTAGAGTTAATAAATAAATAAATAAATTATATATATATATATATATATATATATATATATATATATATATATATTCGAATACTATTCGTATTCAAAAAAAATTCGAATCGAAAAAAGTATTCGAATTCGAATCACGAATCGAATTTTTTTTTTATTTGATTTGTTTACACCTCTAGTTAAAAGTGGGTATAACTTATCACCAAACTACTCTATATAATTAATATTTATATATATGAAATTAACATCCATTTGCCAATACCATGTAGTGTGATGACATCTTGGTTATCATTCCAACTGAATAGTTAGTTATAGGATTGAACCTTGGTGATGGGGGTTAAGATTTTTTTGGCTGAAAATGTTTGAGAAAGTATAAAACAGATACTACATTGTAAAGAATTGCTCATAGAATGTACAATGTAAATTTAAAGTAAAACATATTCAAAATATAACATAAACTTATATAATGTTGATATTCACAAAAGAAAAAGACCATTATACCCCTATTATAAAGGAGAAGTAATTTTTTTGGTAAAAAATTGACGGAGATTTCATCGAAATGACCATTTACGGCTCACGCCAAATAATTAATACTCGTAAATCAATTATGTAAGTTTTGAAAGTTTTGGATCAACATTGTTAGTGTCATAATATCCGTAAGGCCAAAAATGTGAAAAAAATACCGCTCTAAATGCTCTAAACTCTATCACTCTTCAAAGTCTAAAAGTGATAATGTAACAAAGTACATATTAACGAAAATGTTCTAACATTCCATTATAGATAAAGTCCTGGGCTGCATGAGAATAAACAGAATATCTGTGGGGTCTAATGGAAATAGAGGAAAAACTAAGACCGCGTCCGAAATTTCAATAAATTGAAGGAGCTCTTGTAGCCTCGTCGGAGCTGTAACGACCTCGATCGAATCAAAGACGCAGTAGCCCCTAGCCAAGATCACAGAGAGCTCACGATCTGAAGATTTAACAGTAGCAGTGAGGGATGATCTCGCAGTTCTTCGTGCTCTCGCAGAGGGGCGACAGCATTGTCTTCCGCGACTGTGAGTTATCTATCTATTACCTACACATATTCATGTAATGCGTACAAGTACGTTTCTATACGCAATTGTTGTTTGAGCGTTGCAATTTGTGGATTCCTGATCTTATTGCGGAAACGAAACTGCGCCGAGATTTCGTTTCTCAACTTCAATTTTCACGAGTTCGTAGTTTTGAATTGGAATTGAAGTTATCGGAACTCAGATTGAGCTCGCTGATCCGAATTACTATATGGCTTTACCATTCCGGTTTCTATAGAATGTGAATTAAATCGAGTAGTTTAATTCTAGGTAAATTTTTTTGGTTGAAATATGGAGGAAGTTGTTTTCAATCTATAGTAAATATATTCAGTTTTAAAGGGGCTTCAATTTAGAAGTTAATTTGCAGCTTGCTTGTTTGATTGAATGGATTGACATATATTGCTGCAATTAAGAGTTTGCTAACTGATGCTTTTAAGACATGTAGTTAGAGGTGAGAGGTGAATTTAGTTTGTTGCTACTTTGTGAATGATTGTAGATGTTAGGTAACAAACTAACAATGTGTTGGTCAGTAGGTCCTTTCATCCTGAGGTTGTAATTAAATGTGGTGTTTAGGTATTCTTGAAAGCCATAGTTTCTATGAACTTAGATTGTGTGTCAAGTTGGGGGGTCTCTTGTTGCAACTTGCAAGTAACGATTTTCTAGTAATGCTCCCAAGGAAGCCTAAAGGTTTGTTCACAGACTATATGAATTTTGAATCATCTAAAAGACATTTGGTGCATTTGAAAAAACAAGTTCAGATTTATAATGTACCCAGAGAAGGATAATACTTTCAAGCTTGATAATATGCGTGTACAGGATAGCCTTGCTAGTGGGAGGGTTCTCTGTAAGTTAGATGGAGATAAGCAACTTGTCCACCTAAATTTTTGTTGTCTAACTTGACTTTGGACAATTTCAAATATGATATTCTTCTCTTCACTCCACTGCTCCCAAAATGCAGATAGAGGAGATGTACAAAAAGGAAGTGCAGAGATTTTCTTCCGCAAAGTAAAGTTTTGGAAAGAAGATGGTGAAGAGGAAGCACCACCTGTATTTGTAGGTATCTTTTCCAGTGTGGCACTGTTTTCATTGTTTGCTAAGCAGTATAGGATTCTTTGAATTTTTTTATTTTTTATTTTTTATTTTTTATTTTTATCTTTAAACCTTTGTAATTTTTAAACATGTATATAGTGATTTATGTTAGATGCTGTTTTTTTCTTTTTAATTTTTTTTTTATTTCATGAAATATGATTTATACCTCCCCATCTTTACCTCTTTCCATTTTGTTCAGTTTCTCGAATTCCTTTTTCTATTCTGTGAGCTTATATCCAGTTTTTATTGTATGTTCTCTACAGAATGTGGATGGTGTAAACTACTTCCATGTGAAGGTTGTTGGTCTGCTTTTTGCTGCAACTACTAGGACCAATGTGTCACCTTCTCTTGTGCTGGAGCTTCTACAGAGGATTGCACGTGTTACAAAAGATTACCTTGGCATTCTGAATGAAGATTCCTTGAGAAAAAATTTTGTACTTGTGTATGAGCTACTTGATGAAGTGATTGTAAGTAATATGGTTGGGATAGTGTGCAATGAATTTGTGAATCTAAATAACAAAATATCTGTCATTGAATCAATAATTTTGCTGTTTAGTACTGAAACTGCAAATGTGTTAGTTTTTCATTACTTAAAAAACAAAAATACATGCCATCCTATTTGACACTTGACAGAGCACTGCATCTTATGAGGTTTTGTACTTTTGTTATTAAATTCAGCTAGGACTTTTTAATGAATAATGATAAATGATAATGATTCCTTCAAATTTTCTTCATAACATGATATTTAGGCTTGTTATTTCATGCATTATGCAATCAAGTATCAAATTACTTAAGTTATCTTTTCTTTTATTTATTTATTTTAAATATATCACCAAAGGTGAAAGTGCTTAAACTCATCTCCATTTTATACCAGGATTTTGGTTATGTCCAAACGACATCCACTGAAGTCTTGAAATCCTACATATTTAATGAGCCAATTGTAGTTGATGGTGGGCGTTTGCCACCAATCGGCCCAGCTGCTATATTTATGGTATTTTCTATTGCCCAAGTGATGGTACTAAGATCAATTTTACTTCCCTCAGAACACATATAGCCCATCACTAATGCCCTTCCACTTTGACATGTGCAGCAAGGGACAAAAAGAATGCCTGGGACGGCTATTACAAAGTCTGTTGTAGCAAATGAACCAGCTGGTAGAAAGAGGGAGGAAATTTTTGTGGATATCATTGAGAAAATAAGCCTTACATTCAGCTCAAGTGTGAGTAATCTTGTTTGTTCTGGACTCAATTTATAAGCTCTGTGTTGTGCTAAACTGCTAAATCCACAAGTTCACAGGTCATGAACAAGTAATAAAAAGTAGATTGTTGATCCCATGAGGAGGAACGATGAGTAGCAAAATTATTGTTTTATCTATTATTTGAAAAAAAAAAAGATTTAAGGAAGTTTAACTAAAGAAAACTAAATCAAGGAATTCTTAATACAAAGACATGAATCTGTTTTAATTTTAATGGAGGTTTCTCTAGAGTTTATATTTCATCAATTTAATTCCTATGGTTATCCAATATTTACTTGAATGAACTTTCCTTGTTAGAACTAATGACTAGATCACCTAAGTTATATGTTCTCTGTTGACGCACATATTCATAATATAGCTGTGTCTACTTTTGTGATAACAAAAACCATTAAGATCTATAACAATTTATGCATTTGGCCAATGTAACGGCCTTGAATGCAGAGTTGCAGTCATAAGATCTGAGTTAGTGCTTATGTTTCTATAAAACACATACCTTAGGTCTAATGTCTTAATGAACTCGTGCTATGCTTCCTCTTTTGATCCATTGGATAACACCTTAAACATGCAAATAATGGTCAGTTGTTCACAAGAATTAATCCTGAATGATTAGTTTAATAAGACTCATTCAATTCCCTCAAACATAGATAAACATGGTATATTCAGAAGACTACATCTAAACCCTAGATATTTAGCTATTCAAAATTAGAAACAATCACCATGTTTGTTGAAATCATTTCAATCATTATAACAAATAACAATCAATGAATTTAATGAATAGAATAAAGTTTAAGAGGGAACTCCAGAAAGGTTGGATGATGAATCCAATTCTTAAAATCTCCCTGAAGAAGTGATTTGAAATCTTCAATCTTGCTCCAAGAATTCCCCAAGAACTGTTTCTCCTCAAAGATGTGGATTTAATCCATTTTCATCTAAATAACAGGGATATATATTGACTTCTGAAATTGATGGCACCATTCAAATGAAGAGTTATCTTTCTGGTAATCCAG